GAGCTATCTCCCTCCTTCACAAAAGGAATGAAAAGGCGGACGTCCGTAACTGGCGTCCGATTACCCTTCTTAATGCATCTGGGAAGATATTGGCCAAGGTACTCTCTTTACGCATCCGAAAGATAATCCCATCCTTAGTCCACCCGGATCAGTCTGGATTTGTGGCAGGAAGACAAGTCCTGGACAACGTAATGACCGTTATCCAAGTTATCGAGATCATTAAATCCAGAGAATCGGAAGAAGTCCTACTCCTGATCGATTTTGAGAAAGCATACGATAGAGTGAACTGGAAGTTCACTCTAGAAGTACTTGACAGAAGAGGGTTTGGTCCTAACTTTAGAAAGTGGGTCTGTTTTCTGTACCAAGATTCACAAGCTTCAGTCATCATTAATGGTATGAAATCCGATCCTTTTATACTGACCAGATCTCTGAGACAGGGGTGCCCACTGGCACCCCTCCTGTATGTACTCCAGCAAGAAGTTCTTCTCAATATGATCAGAGCCTCAGAAGAAATCAAGGGGCTCCGGATTGATCCCTCTCGGACGATCAAGGCATCGACATTGGCTGATGACCTGTCTGTGATCTCAGAGAATACAGAGTCCTCGTTGCGAGCAGTCTCAAAATGTCTGTCCATCTTTGAAAAGGCCTCAGAAGCCAGAGTCAGTTGGAAGAAATCGGTAGCCTTGTCTAGAACCAACGACCCCCTGGCTCTGGATCTGGGGATGGAGCTCAGACGCAGCAATGACTCAGAAAGATTCTTAGGAGTTGAGGTTTCTTTCTCAGACTGTCAATCGAGACAAAATTCGTTGCTTGAGGACAAGGTCCTCAACAAGCTGACCAAATGGTCATCATTCTGGTCTATCTCTTTGTTCGGTAGAGCACTGGTAATCAATGCGGCCGTCCTATCCGTTCTTTGGTACGTTCTAACAGTGAGACAGTTAGCCCCATCCTCAGCCAAAAGAATCCGCAGGGCCACTACCAAATACCTCTGGAAGGGCACAGTAGAATGTGAGAATACTCTCCCTAAGGTAGCTTGGTGGAAAGTCACACAGAAACGGAATGATGGGGGTCTGGGGCTGCTAGATCCTCTAATCCAGAACCAGGCTCTAATGTGTAAGTGGATCGTTAGAGGATTACTGGACCCGGATCGGAAGCCTTGGATCATACTGGCCGAATATATCCTCTCAAGGGAATGGGGGCTCTCACGACAGACTGATGTATGGGTTTGCCTCTTACTGAGACCCTTTCTGAACAAGCGCATCGAATCCGAGACATGGGCAGCGATCATCAAAGCATGGAAGACCAACTTGCCAACACTGCTCAGAGAGCCAAACGCAAGAGACGAAATTCTGCTACAGCAGATCTTCGAGAACAGCCACATCAGGACAGCTGAAGGGAATCCTATCAGAATCACGGGAGGAAACACAGGATTTGGGCTGAAATGGATTCAGGCAGGCATCACACAGGTAAGTGATCTTTGGGATGAGGAGAAGAAGGACTGGAAAGAGCAACGGGAAATGGAGAATAAGTTGAGAAGAGTGCAGAATGTTCATAACTGTCTGTTTCTTATAAAACAGGCCGTTCCTGCGAAATGGCTCAAAATACTTCAAAAGGAACCATTTCAGAAAGGGATGTGGGTCGTGGACGAACAAAAACCAGGGTTTTTTTGGAAAATTGAGGAAGTACTTGATGAAGAATTAATCCGATGTTCCAAATGGACTGAAGAGAGACAGGAACTCAAGAGAGCAAGGTCCCCAGAGGAGTCCCAGGAAAACCAGCGGGACCAAGCCTTCCCTGGAGTTGCAGAGAACCAAGAAGGAAGCTTGCTTCATGTGAATCAGTGCAAACTGATCCGGGTCAAAGAATCCACAAAGCAGACTATAAAAGGGCCAGCTCCCTTTTTTCAGTTGTTGCTCGAGGGCAGACCAGTCAGGGATGGCTGGATTGATGCAGCAATCTACGGTTGGGATAGTATCCCAGGACAGCAGTCTCAAGCCACAATCTTGGACTACACTGTCGCACTCGGATATCGTCTGAAATCTAGGGCTAATGAACTCTGTGTGACGGTCAAAGGTGCCTGGGATAAAAACCAACTGAAGCTTGATATGTCCTCTTGCTCCCTCTCGTGGGCAAAAAGCTATGGCAAAGCCCTGAAGAGATACTCAGTGGTTAAACACGCAAGCCTGGAGTGGCTATTCATCCACCTCTGCGTTCCTTCAGCCAGTTGGTGTGTTCGCAGAAGAATGCAAGTGAGGCTGTTCTGCTCTTCATGTGCGACAGAAGAAATTGAAACCCAATCCCACATCTGGTGGGATTGCGATTTTGCGCAGAGATTCTGGAACTGGTGGCAGACTCTCTGGGATCAAGCACATCAGGAGAAGCCAAGTGAATGCAAATGGAACAAAACACTGATTCTGGGAGGCATRAACACGGAAAAGGTTGACATAATCGGGACGGTGAGGATACTGGGAATGTGGATCCTGTGGAAGGAAAGGAATGGAGCAAGATTCAATGGCACCCAAGTAAATCTGGACAGAGCAAAGCAAGATATGACGAGAAACCTCAAGGATATTATCGAGGCAGACTGGCGCCAAACACGCAAGTCCTCACTACCCCTGAAGCTACAAGCGGAGAAGTTTGCCAAGAAATGGGCCAAGGGACATTGCTGGGCAATCCCAGATCAGAAGGGAAGACTTCTCTTCTCCAGGATCCTGGAATGCAGGAGATCCTGGGCTTTAGAGCCTGATTAATTTATCAGGCTGCCAGAGGTCATCACTGTAAATACGTGTCTCCTGTAAATACTGATCATTGTAAATAATGTGATAGGAAATATCTGGAGTACTTCTTTGTATATTCTTACTCACCCTCTTCTGTATATTCTTACTCACCCCTACCTCTGACCCTCCTCCCTCACCTGTCTCTCTTCCCCCTGCTTTCTCCTTACCTTAAACTACCCCTCTTATGACTAACCCTCTTAACTCTATAAACCA